AATCAAGGATATGCAATATTAAAAAAAATTATAGATATATGTCCTTTGTAATATCAGTATATCCTGTGATACTAGTGTAAATATCTTCTTTAGATTCAGGGGTGGAAGTATAGGAGTAGATAAATCTAATCTACTTTTGTGAAGAGATCTGAAAATGTTCAGCTTACCACCTTTTTCACTCAACGAGAACAATCAAAAACCTGCTGTTGACAGGACATCTTCTGCAAACATCTCTTAATTTCAGAAGCTTTTGTTCAGATCTCATATACTCTGTACTGCAACCTACTCTGGGGTCCTCAGCTTGAGAAAGGCAGGGAGCTATTGCTGCAGATCCAGAGAACGACTATAAAAATGATCAGAGATCAGGAGCACCTCTACTATGAAGACAGGCTGAGGGAGATGGACTTGTTTAGCTTACAGAAGAGAAGGCTTCATGAAGACATAATGCTTGTATTACAAAAAAAAAAAAAGAAGTACTTATTTCATTCAGGTATTCAAACCTCAGTAAGTTAAAAATATATTTTCAATAGGAAGAAAGCATTAGCTTTTCCTCAGTTGTTGACTAAAAGAGACAATAATCGAATCTGTAACTACTAGAGTCCCAAAAGCCTTCTTTACCACCTCAATTTCAGACTGTGTAAATCCAGAGAGATTTGTTTGTTTTGTTTTGTATGTCAGTAATTTATGACTTCGTCACAGAAAAAAAATATACATATTTTGACCTACCATAACTTGCTGAGATTACAGAAATTTTCAGAATAGTGAGAACAAGGATGTGGAGCACTGTCTTTACTTTTGCTTTCAGCAAGCATTCAAGAATAAAGAAGAGGATAGAACAAAATCAGGGCCAGTTATGATAATTTTCAAATTACAAACATGTCCTTATGTTTGGTCTTTTATATTGTTGCCCTAATGTTTTTATAGCTTTTAACTTGACTCATGTTTTTAAAACTCAGTTTAAGCTCTTCAGCCTTGGTCACCAAATATATATATATTAAAACTAAACATAACTACCAAAATAACTGATCAGGCTTTTAAGGAAAATGTCATAGTAGCATATACAGAGACTGATAAACATTCAAAATATTTGTGTTGGAATAAAATTTAGGTTGATTATATACATTCTTTTCCTTCTCACTCTCTCTCTCTTAATCTTTATTTATTTATTTATTTATTTTTAATTTTCGAGTTAATCTTTTACCTCTCTTTTCCCCTACTCCTTCTTGTCCTGGATCTGTTTCCATCCAATCGAAGAGGAAATTAAATTACCAGTTTTTCAGAGTAAATAGTGAGTACTGCAAAAATATGTATATAAATTTATACATAAAAAGTTATCCTCTAGTTTAATTCCATCAAATCTCACTATGTGATTTATTTTAACATGAATTTCATTATAGTTTTTAAGTAAATTTTAAGTAAAAAAAAGAGAAACTTGGATTTCTATTTTCTAATTAAATTTTGCCCTAATTATGTAATAGATCTTTAAAAATGTTCTTTCATGAATACTTGTAACTATTCCAATTTTGAATGCTTTTCATCCAAAGAAATTCTTCAGGAAATCATTTTTTAAATTAAGTTTTTAAACACTTTATATTATTGTGTACTATATAGCACAGTTATAAATCTTTATAGCTGTTTAGCTCTCCAAAAGGATGATTCAATAGTGAATCTAGAAGTTTGAGTTTTAAATGTATAAGTAGTACTAATTTATACAACTCATACACTTCAAATAGTTCTTAAATATTTTCTTGGAGAAGTCAGATATAAAGATTTAGCTTTAGGTAAAAATTCTTATATTCTTATGTTCTTATATTCTTATATGCTCAAAGTAATAATTATAGCATTTCTAGAAATAATGAAAGGTGTTAATAAAAATAAATTCTGATAAGTTATATGAAACTAAAAAGCAATAATATAATAAATTCTTCACTAGATATACAAAAAAGAATTAAAAAATTTGTAACGTATCTGAATAACTATGACAGTAAGTACACTGACAGAAATTGTATTTTAATTCTTGTACCAGGTGAGAAATTAATGTTTAAGTGTATACAATTAATGTTGCAGATTTAAGCTAATTCACCCAATAGCCTTAACTTGAAGACCCTTCAGTTTTTGTACAAAATACCTCATTTGAATTAATGTATATTCTCTACCCAAAGTAATATTCAAACCCAAATATATGTGTCTAAGAGGGCAGTTTACTAAACAAAAATCTCTTACATTCCTGTAAGCTAATATTAGCCCAGAAAGAAGAACATTTGTTTTCATTCATTATCAATTTAGAATTTCAATCTTGAGGTGATATCCTGATGCTTCTCATAAATTTTCCTGTTCATTTATTGTCTGTATTTAAAAATAAACTGGATGATATGATGCTTCCATTCAGAATTATGAGGAATTTATGCACAATTATATGATTTTAATGGAATGATCACTTTTCTCACAGTTTTTATCAGTGAGTGTATTTATTAGTGCTGTAAAACAAAGAACTAACAATCATCAACTTAGTTGTCAAGAAAAGAATATGCTATTTTTTCCTACCAGATTGGAAACCATGGCAACGCCTGGTTAGGAGAAGCTGAAGAAATATTTGGAGATTTGCAATTGTTAAAGCCATTGAACTGTAACAGACATGTATTAATTGCGAGTGAATGTGACAGCACATAACATATTCCTGAAAGGGAAGAAGACATCAGCCTCATTCAAGACTAAGAAACTGAACAAGAGATGAATCAAGTAATGTGATGTCTGACTTCAGACCTGTTGTCATGTTTGCATACTCATCACTTATGAGGTCTGGGAAAAAAGTAGAATTTGATTGCTGTAGAAATATTTCCAAGAAAAAGTCTTAAAGAGATGGAAGAAATCTGACAGCTTAAAAGGGCAAAAAATATATGTTTAAAAGCAGCCCTAAAGACAGTTGAGAGTTCAAACAAAGAACAATTACATTGATTTCATATTGTAAAATCCATGGCAGCAATAAATTTCATGGGGGACTGCTGGCAAAATAGCTTCCTGAAAGAGGTAATAGTAAGTTCTACTAGCAAGTACTTTTAGGGAATTTATTACAGAAATATATTTTTGTTTTATTTTTAAGTACAGTATCAGAGAAGGAGCTGAAATACTTAAATGGACAATAAATATTTTAATTAATGTTTTTAATTCTGTTATATGTATATGTAGGCAGCAAACTACAATTTGCAAAAAAAAAAAAAAGAAAAACTGTAAGAATGCTTACAACTGTCTTTATTGTAGTATTTGAAAGCATAAATGTTTTCATGAATTATTGAAATGATAGTATACAGGAAACAGATATCACTGACAACAGTTTGACTGCTTTTTCTCGTCAAGGAAAAATATTTTAATTCATGCAACAAGCTGTTTATGTTATGCTATGCCTTCTGCTATATGACAAATGGCAATTCTTACTTTGGATTTTACTAATAAACAGAATGCAAACAATAGTAAGTAAAATAAATCTTTGTGCAGAAATCTTTTGAATAACTTCCTAATTCCACATTAGGAAGAAATGTCCCTAACTTAAAATCGTCATTTTAAGTACCTGCAAGAGAAAGGCAATATTACTGAGAAAGACAAACCAATCTGCCACAGGTTTATTGTGTCAAATAGATAAATTCTCTAATGCTAGATATACCAGTGCCATACCCAAATCTTAGACTTGTGGCCGTCACACCAGAATTCACAACTGTAGCTCAGGCTTAATAGACAATGAGAAATAATCAAACACGAATATTAAATTCCTAGAAGATAGAGGCCTCTGTCTTTCTTTGCCTCCCTGCCCTCCCATTTATTATTACATAGTGATTGAAATAAAAATATTTAAATTTCTGAGTACTGTTGATTTTCGTCTTTAGTAATATTTTCATAAATTATTTTTTAATTCATAAAAGGATGAGATTCCTTTTCTATGTAGAAAATACTGCAAGCAACTTTTATTTTTTTCTAAACAGAAAGTTCTACTGACTGTTTCAGCAATTCCTCTCCTAGCATTATATATCAAACTGAATTTAAGAAAACTTTCTATTGAAGCTGAGGTACTTCTAGATTTTTTCATTCACAAAATATTATATAACATTCAGAAACACAATCATGTTGTCTTTTGCAATCTCCAGAGGAGTTTTCAAATTTGAAAAATTTCAGGATTCTGACAATCACAGTTTTAATAATATAATGCTAGAATATGTATTTATCATCTTATAATCATCTTTTTCATTAATCCATTGGTCAATTCAATTAAAATTAATGTTCACATTATAATGTTATAGAATTTAAACAAATGTGTTGAACAAACCTGTTAATGCTTTATTAATTACAGTATTGAAACACTGGCAGAGGTAAATAATAATTTCTTTTTAATGGAGCTGCCAAAATTTAATATCTGTCCTAATAATGTAACATGTTATGCACTTATGCACATAGACCCTCAGATCCACTGTACATTTTCAAGACTGTTTTCAGCTTTCAGAACTCTATCAGAGACTTTGTGCTGCGAGGAAGATATCAGAAAACACAAGAGAATTATTAGTTGGCAGGGTTATGGCTTTTATTTCTTTACATAATGTTCGTATTCTGGTTTGGAGTCACTCTGCCCAATAATAAAATTTCTGTTTATAAATATTACAAATTAATGGGACAAGATATACCCCCTATCACTTTGAAATCTTGCCATTTTCAGTTCAGTTATCTTTTTTTTTTTTTCTTTCGAATTCACAGAATGTGTCACTGAAACTGCAAGTCTATTTAGTCTATTTCTCTCTCTCTCTCACACACACATTATCCTTCTGAGTACTCTGGACCCAGAGACCTGATATGACACTGTGTGGCATGTATGGGAACTGCTGAATCACAGCCTGAATGATGATCTGATTGATCATCTGAGGTGAGCAATGAGTCAGCCACAGGAGCACAGGTGAAGGCAATTCCCGTAGACCCATTTAAGAGCTGACTACCAGAAGGGAAGGATCTCTTCTGGAGGTCTTCTCTGCTGGAGTTTCATAGCAAGCCTAGGATGCAGGTATGCATTCTATCTATTCTACTTTGGTATAATAGCTGCATATCCAAGGTCTCTGGTGTATCTCGTAACTATAGCATCAGTACATTCATTGATTGTGCAGTGGCAGTCAGTCCAATTCTTTCTATTAGAAACCTAAGATTTCCCTTTATGGTCAGTAGAATAGACCACTCTTTAGATGAACCTGTGCAGCAATATGTAAATATCTCCACCCCGATCATGACTGCTGAAACAAAGACAGAAAGAAAAAACAGTAAAGTATGAGAAAAGAGATTAGGGAAAGATGAGGATAAGAAGAATTGTCTTGAACTCTAAGAATGAGGAGAAAAGTTATGATAAAAGCTCTACAGAAAAACACAAAACAACAGTTAGAGCTAGTGGTGGGTTGGAGGGTAGCTGGCAACATGTGAACTAATACAAACAATTTATGGAAATTCTAGTACTCTATACTATACCAGTATGGTACACTATGTCATCAACATGTATTTGCGATTAAAGTACCTTTGTCAGGATGGAGCAACAATTACCAGAACTGATGTAGAGACACCAAGCTTTTCTAGTCAGTCAAGATATTTAGGTAACCTAATGGGTAAATGTCTTTTACCTGAATAAACACCAAATGCTTGCTTGCCCCAAGATCAGCTCATAAACTTGAAACTATAACCTCATAAAATAACATCAGTGCTACTCCAGATATTAAGTTTTACATCAACTTCTTATATATTCTCATGTGAAAATATAAAATGTTAAAGTTCTGTATGCTCAAATGTTAATACTACACTTAAAAATAATATGCTGTGGCGTAAAAAATATTTATTTTGATGCTTATTTTTGTTGAAGAAAAGTAGAATACAAGATTTATAGATCAAGATAATGACAAAATTAATAGATAAAATGAAATCTGTGTGCGTAAGCAAAGCAGAAATTCATTCATTATTTCTCATTGGCAGATGTTTTGCCATTTCCAGGAAACCAAGTCTTCGGATCATGTGATTCTGCTTAGGAAAATAAGCATTTCCCTTGGGAAGAGGGTTGTGAATATTCCTCATTCGACCTCTCTTTGAGGAGGCATTTCTAAGTCGTGCAGTATTATGGAGTGGCTCTTCAATCAGATTGAGTTGTGTACCTCCCAGACTGTGGTATGCTCCTAGCCTACTGTTCTGGGAAAGAGGAGACAGAGAAAGCTTTGAAGCTGTGAAACAACAGCTAAAGCATTTGTGTTTTAACAACACTGCTGTAGGTATGAATGTAAAGCGTCTTTGAAGAAAGTGAACTGCATCCAAAGCAGACCAGAACAGATGCAATAGCACTAATTCACTTTTTCTCATATGCATACAAATATACTGATAATAAAGTATGTACCCTCTGTATGATTAGAAAACGTCTATCTGTACGCAATAAATATATATTTTTTTAAAAACTGCTGAAAGTATACTAAGATTCTGAAGGATTATTGAGAAGAGTAAGAGAAAAATAAATTCCTAAATTTGTTTATCTTCCCTGCAAGGAAAATACAGCTGGATTTCCATGGAAGTTTGCTTTGAAAATTTTAATGTGTTCTTACAAACCTGAGGTACTTAGTGTAATTATTTTTTTTTTTACTTTTTATGAAATTTTTTTATTATAATTTTTAGAATAGCATTTAAAATTTAATATACATATATTTCCTTGTACTGGTTAAATCAGCATTCTGCATTATGACATTGTAACAGGCTGTTGGATGCAAGGGCACAGTGCACTGTGCTGCTGTTCTTCCTAGTCTTGTGTTATCGAGCAGTCTCATGTGAATTCTCATTCTCCAAGAAAAAGATAGACTGAAATGTACTGCATTTCCCAAGGGCCTCCATAAGATTTACAATATCAGGTGATGGGGGTGAAGCTTGTTTTGGGTTCCAGTAGCCCTGGGGGCAGCAGCATGGTCATAGGCTTCCTCTCTCTCCCATTTGAGTTATTAATTGTAACTTTTTTATTATTTTACAATTTGTAGGAAATTTGTTCTCTATTCTTATCTTAATTGGATTGTTTTTCTTTCCTTCTCCCTGTAAGGGGAGAAAGGAGCCCCCTTGCCCTGTTGTGCTTGAAGTTGTATCATTCTTCTATAATTTCTTAGCTTATTTTTTATTTTTACATTTAAGTATTTTCTTTATCTTTTTTTTCTAATGAGAAAAAAAAAAAAAAAAAAAAATCAGTTCACATTAGCTAGGTGAAGACTAGTTTTTAGTTAGTACTTGACCAGTATGCCAATTCAGGAATATATTAATATACTCCAATCATTAATTATTAAGCAATATTTATTTTAAAGTAATTCTCTTCAAAGGAAAGTCCTAGGAATATTCTGCATGCTACCCATGAACTCTGTAGCATAAAACCTAATGTTTTCTCTCAGATAAATAAATCCCCAATATAATTCCAAGGAGTTAATTAAACTTCATTTTCTGTTTTTAAAGTATAGATAGATAGGGTGATAAATAGAAAGGTGATAGATAACTGTGTTAGGCTATACTAAAAATGTATGCCTGTTGTTTATTTTGATTCAGTGTAAAATGCATGCAAGTCCCCAAACTATAGATTTCTACATAGTACAAATCAAGAGACCAAATATAAAGCCTAAAATATGAAGAAAAAAAAAATTTCAACAGACTTAAATCTGGATACTTCTCAAGGATTATGAGATAAAAGGACTAAATAGAGGATGACAACTGTCTTTATTTATGTTCTGTAGGTCTACATCTGTCAATTTATCTGGCTGTGATAGGCCTTTATCAAACCAATCAAGTGAAATGTTCAGCTTGGTTTGCTATAGTGGAATGGCTGATTTTTGTTTTAAACTTCCCTTGCTTTCTAGCACATCCTTGGAGCTTGACAACAGTATTCATTTCCCAGCTGACTTTCTACTCCGTTTCACTCCATTTTGCTGTTATTTGTTTCTCTTCTCTTTTATTCCCAAAACAATTTTCTATAATTGTCCACTATTGCACTTCACATAAATAAAAATGTATTTCATTAGGAAAATATTTGCCATATTGTCAGGAAAGTGTTTAGTAATTTTTTCTTGGGGAAAAATAACAATTAAAAGAACTTATATGTTGGTTGTAGCAGTTAATAGCGATTTATAAAACTTAGCAATCAAAAATAGGGCATGTAACATTCTCAAAGTTTTCATTCTAATAACATTTAATCACAATTCTATTCAACAAACACATAGAAAGCTATTTACAAATTCTTCTGCAGATGAATTCTGAATGGTATGTGTAAGCTTGACAATTAAAGAATATTTCTTTATAAAATCAAATAATAAAGCCATTTGTTGGGCTTCAAAGTTTCATTTTGTCTTAAACATATATTGTTAGCAATAATAGAATTTTTTTCCATTTTTCTGTAGACTACTACTACTGATTTGTTCTCTAGACTTCAGTCTAATATCTTCACTAAAATATAGTAATCTTAGATGTGATTATCAGCTTCCATTCTCCATTTTCAATTAAACTATTTTAAGCAAAACAAACAAAACCCTTAGAAGTTAATTCTAATAACGCCTATTCTGTAACATTTACAAATTTTAATAAAAATTTAGCAAGATAACTTGGTAGTGGTGTTTAAATACATAAGATAGTATTAGTCTGATTATCCAAGGGATGTATTGGGTATATATGAGAACTGAATCTTGATGCTACGAATCAAACAGAGTAGGTTATAAGTGGTGTATTTTTATTCTTGATTTATTGGGGAGAGAAAAAGAAGCAGATCTGAATCTAGAACAAAAAATGATGAAATTTTTTTCCCCTCTTAGTCAATTCAAGTAATTACTGAAAGGACTGTAGCTAAAACTAATAAATCTAGTGTATAGTGTCATAGTTCACATTAAAAATATATCAAACGCATGGGGAACAGCGTTGTACCAACTCCACCCCAGCAACAATATAAACTTCCATATCTTAAAATAAAGGGAAAAATATATTCAATTGAATATATTTTAAGGACTACTGTTAATGAGAAGTGTATTGCCTGAGCAGTTTCTAGATCAAATACATCTAACAATCATTATTTGTAATGGTACTAGTACCTCAGATATAAAAGTGTATCTAAAGTGACCATTCACTTCATTAATAATAGTGTGCACTCAGAGGAGGAACTGACATACTGTAAAACTCATTCATGTAATGTTTTTGCTATGTCATAGCAAGTAAAAATGTTTTGAAGGTTGCTTTCATAGTAAGACAGGTCACAGTTTTTGCAAATTAAAAATCAGGAGTAAGATGTGAGTTTTCTTTCTATAGAAGCGAAGTTGTCCATTATATTTTGACCCTAAGAGTGTGAAACTTTTACTGATGTAGAACAATCAGAAAAATACTGAAGTACATATTTCAGATAAATACCTAAATGTTTGAGTTTTGTTAGTCTAGAATTTTAGTAATTTAATCATGATTTTAAATATATTGTAAATTAACATTTCTTAGTCTCATCTCACTCCAGTCTAAAAAACCAAAAGACAGCTATTGGTGCTCTAATAAAGGATAAAATGGTATAAACATTAACTCTATTTAGGGCATCAAATCTAGAAAGAAATACAATATCTGTAAATTAATTACATCGTATCTGTAAGTGAATGTTGTTTTGTTGCCTTTTCCTGAAGTTAAGTAGGAGTGTATTTTGAATGTAGATGTTAACTACTTTACATTACTTATGAAGTTTACATAAAATCTGCTGTTATAGTTTGACCCTAATAAGCACCAAAGCATCATGCAGACCCCATAAATTTACTCCTATATGAAAAAAAAAAAAAAATTAAGAACTTAAGGAGAAACTGTTTCCTTCCTGATTAAAAATGACCAAAATAATTTAAACCAGAGAAATATAACTTGAGCTAGCTGAAGAACTCATGATAAATACTGTCTTCCTAGTATAAAAAAATTCTCTGACTAGAGGGAAGGGAGAGTGTACCAGAAATGCATAAGTGGATGTGAATGTCAATGCACATTAGTAGGGATGAATTTATTTATTTTCTGTGAAAGGTTTCCCTGAAGGGATTTAACCAAAATAATAACCTTTTATCCAGGAAGACTGCAGGAGTTAAAAAACAAATATTCAAAACATGCCACACATTAGAACTGTGATATACTAACAAATCAGGAGGACTATGTGGCTCATATAGATTGCTTCAGGCACAGTATAGGTGACTTTAAATAAACCATCTGTAATAATGAATACCAAGGCACTAGACACACTGGTAATGGAAAATAAAATAAGATGTGAAATTTAGCTGGAATAAGATGTTGTTAGATGTTTTTTGAAAGGTAAGCAATAGCAACACTCTGAGTGAAGCAAGTGTTCTGGGAAACAAGCTTCACCTCTTGTAACTATGTAAGCCTCCATCTGATGCAACACTCAGAGGCAGTAAAAAGAAATGGACAGGCATGAGTCGTATGACCTATTTTTAATGTTTGCTTAAGAATGACATGAATCAGCTTCTAAGTATTGCATTAATAATCAACACTTGTTCAAATTAATCTTTCATAAAGTGCCTGAGAAAATAAAAGTATAAGAACATTCCCTAAAGAATTTATGAATAAGATACTTCTAAATATTAATATTTATATTTTCGCAGGTGTATCAGGAAAGCAGTTGGCATTATTAAAATTATCATAAAGAATTAAGATACCCATATGATTTTCCAAAAATAGACTACATGACCTCTCTACAAGAACTTTTGGGAAGAAGAACGGGAAATCTTTAGTGGCAGGAAGGAAATACTGAATCTAAGGTAACAACTTGGGAACGGAAAACTTACCCTACAAAATACTGACATAGATACAAAAAGGGACTTTTTTTCTTATGATTTTAGTTGTTTTTTTCTACAGCATTGGCACTACAGTTAAGATAAATTACTCTGTGATTGCTTTTTTTTTTCTCCTCAATATCTAAATTTAGAGACACAATTAAATGTATAGAAAAATCATGCATAAATAAGTGCATTAGTTACTTAGATTCAGACAAAATTAAATGGGATTCAATGAGTATAAATCAGAAAGCTGAAATTTTCCACAAGAAATTAACAACTGCAGAAGAAATCCTACCATTAACATAAGGAAAAAAAAAATATACAAATGTGACAGTTGTAATGGAGAAGAAACAAAAACACATGATCTCTTATACTTAGGAAAAGTCAAGATGGCATAGTCATATCAAATGATGAAATTGATGATGAATTACAAATAGCTTCCCTTCCTACAGTAACTCTAGAGGTTGTTAAGCAGTTATGACCAACGGTAGATATTGTAACATCACTTAAATTTTAAAATATTTGGCTGAAGTACACTCTTGACAATTTTCTTTTTTTTTGTTGTTTTTTATTTTTCAATAAGTCTTGAAACAATAGGAAAGCTCTACAGGACTGAAAGAAAGCTAATGGGTCAACACTTCAAAGATGCAAGCAGAGTGAGCCATGTAACTACACAGCTATAACCTACCTATGATCATAGGAGTATACTGGAAGATTTGATGCAGGATTCAGAAACTGAAGGATCCAAAACATAATACAGAAAATGTTTACAATAAACATCATTGTTTAACAATAGCTAAATTTCTATAATCTTTCACCAGATAACACCACTGATAGCTCTAATGCAATTCCTTGTGATACATACAGACAAGTAATGATAAAACATTTCATAGACACAAAGTCTAGAAAGAACTTTATATGCTATTGATATCTTCATCTAACTTTTTTTTGTATTTTGCTTTTAGGATGAGCCTTGCTCAGTTTTGAAAGTAACTGAAGTTTTTGACTTTTTTCTTAGAAGGATGTCCTAAACTAACACTAAATCTAAGTATTTTCTGGATAGAAGTAATTATAAAAATACAGCTTTTTTTTCCTTTTTAAATTAGTCTTATTAGGTAGATTGGCTTGGACATTTTCTTCTTTGGATTTAGTATTAATCTCTTGTAGAGTATACAAAACTGTTCTCTTTGAAAAATCGTCTCATTCACAGAGTATTCTAGAAACTTCTTATATAATGCAGGTGTACAGACAGCTTTAGCAACCTCTTTCTGATCACTTTCTACTCAGAATTTGTCTTCATATCATGCATGAGTGAGCGTGCACGCACACATTCTGTGTGGTATGCATTAGTAGGTTTTTAAGCTCCACAAATTACTCCTTACATGGACTTGCACTAACACACTTTAATTTCAGAATATAACTCAATCCTCCAAGATCATGAAAAACTTTCCAGAACCTATATTATCTTTTATCTTAACAGAAACTCACATCACTATATAATTAGAATATTTTATTACCAAAATATTTTGTGAGCTATTTATAAAAATTCACCTGAAAGTGATCGTAGATAAATTTTAAAGGATTTGCGGTAACAAATTCCAGTCTGATAGTTCCCTTTCAGAACATTTTTTTTTCTACTGTCTTTCCTTCAGCTAATTATACATTCTCAAATGCAGTTCCAAATCTCTTGTTCATCAGCTTCAATAATAATTTCCCACATGACACTCAACTGAAATGTTTTACTGAAATTGGGTAGATTGTATGTATTAAAGTTCTATAGACTAAAGACAGCTTTCAGATTGCTCTGGTAGAACATGCTTTTGGAGTACCAATAGAAAAACATTTCTAATTTATCTTTCTCTTTAATTACTATTTTCTGTAAAACATTTTATAATATCTAGGTCAAGTAGAGTCCCCCAGGATTTTTATTCCTCTTCACATAATTACAGTATTTATTATTTTTCCATGTAATAATATTGCCATGAATTTCAACATTTGAAAGCCTTTGTCACTGAGTTGAAGTCATTGTATAAATGTTGCACTGATGTGCTAAGATGAAAAAAATATACAAAAATCCTAAATAGTTTTCTTTAAACTTAGATTTCAGTTCTAACTCCCCTGAAGTTATTTTATTCTCTGAAACTTAATGTTATTACATGCTTTGTTTTTGATCCAATCTTACTAAGAACTGCAGCAAAATAGAGTCAAATCTATTTTAAATATAATTTCTACCCATATGTCTGTCTTTGTGGTTTTTGTTATGTTTTAAATCAAAGAACTTTTGATATTCTGTTCAAATTCACTTGAGATGACTGAATTTGTTTGCCACTCAGTAATTATCAAAATTATTTACTTTGACAGTACAAACTTTTTCAACTACTTCTTGGCCTTCTGAGTATACTCAATTTACAGTTTATTATTCCTGTGAGATTTGCAGCCCTTTACAAACTACATTAGTGAAAGTATTTAAGTAATCCCTTAGGAAACCAGAAGTGGCAGAATTTGCACAATTTTGAGCGATATGCATCTTGATTCCTTATTGCTTTTAAGATCTTTAGACTAAATTGCTTCAATAAATAATTTTTCTAGCAAGAAGGACATGGAGTTTTTGGAGCAGGTCCAGAGGATGGTTACAGAGGTACTAAGTTGGCTGGAACACCTCCCATATGAGGACAGACTGAGAGAGTTCTTCTGCGGCTCTTCAGCCTAGAGAAGTCTCTAAGGAGATGTCATAGTGGCCTTCTAGTACCTGAAGGGGACCTACTGGAAAGATGAGGAGGGACATTTTATAAGGGCATGTAGTGGGAAAAACATTCAAGGTCAGACAGGATGGGGCTTTTGCAACCTGCTCTAGATGAAGTTATAAGTTGTCCCTGCCTATAGCAAGGGGACTCAAATCACGTGATCTTAATCCCTTTGAACCCAAACCATTCTATGATTCCTGTTTGAGAAAAGAAACTGCTATCCTGTTTTTAATTTTCTTTTCAGGAAAGAAAGTGAGAAGTATCAGGCCGCCACAATTATTTGTCAACTATAACTGTATATTATGATTTTCATACAGACATTACTTTCATTAACACTATGTCTGAAACATTTAAATGACGCTTAGTTAAGCCCACATAGTATCTACATTTCACATTTCATTCCCAAAGCAACAGCCAGAACATACTTTCTAACCCTTAGCAACAAATCTACATTTAAAAACAAAAGCTCAGAAGGTGAAATAAAGCATAAATTCACACACAAAGAAAAAGAAAGAAATGAGACCTTTGGATCACCTTTGCAGTTGACAGTGTAAAACAGTTCAGTTGCATTCCACACTACTATAATTCATTATCCATTTTCAATGTCTGCTTAAAAAACAGTGTTTGAAAGATTATTGAAAAGGCTTCAGGATAGGTTCAAGATGCTGGTGTAGGGAAAAACAACTGCTGTAGTTTAATGGTCATTAAATTTAATTAAATAAGAATAGATTCAGTACTTATTTAAATGCAAATGTAAATGCCTACACAGTATGAAGAATTCATCATGCCAAAACATTCACTAAATAAATTTCCTTATCATTAGAAACAGTTTCCCCAGAGAACTGGGCACCAGTCCTGATGGAATTCAAAAAGTGTTTGGACAATACAATCAGCTATGTGGTTTGATTTTTGGATGATCTTGTGTGGAGTTAGGAGTAGAAAGATCATAGTGAATCCCTTCCAATGTTTCATGATTTACCTACTGGAATATGTTGGAAAAAAATAATTTCATATCAGAATGACAATATTTAACAACAATTTTTTTTCATAACTTCTTATAATAATCTTACTGTGCTTTCCTCTTTTCCCTTTTTAAATAATCTTTCTTGCTATTCATTACATTTTAGTATTTGGAAACATTAAATCTGGATTGGGTTACGTCTCAGAAGTTAGAAACAAGTTACATTATTTTTATAATATCTAACACAACAAATTTTCCAAAATTAATTTTGATTTAATTTAATAGTAAATTAAAGGCTAACATGTAATTTGAAATAATAGCTTAGAAAGTATTTAGAATTCATCATTAAGACCTGCAGGTTATCTACAAGCAACTATAAAGTTATCTGTAGTGCACAAACAGTGGATAAGGAATCAGTTGGGTGGTCACGGATGGAGGGCTGTGGGCAGCAGCTCTGTATCTATACAGAAGTCAATCATGAGAGCTGTCCCCAGGGGTCCATCTTCAGACAAGTACTCTTCAGCATCTATATCAGTGACATAGAGAATGGGATCAAGTCCACATTCAGCAAATCTGTGGATTACAATAAGGTCAGTGATACAGCTGATAAAACAGAAGTAAGGGGTGCCATCCAAAGCCAAGTGGATAAGCATATGAATTCAATGGGGTTCAACATGGGCAAGAGCAAGGTATTGCACTTATGTTATGACAATCCTAAATATGTGTATAAACTAGGAGAAGAACTCATTGAGAGCAGCCCTGCAGAGAAGGACTTGAAAGGTTCTGGTGGATGAAAACCTGGACATGAGCCAGCGGTGGTGATTGCAGTCCGGAAGGGCATGAGTATCCTGGGTTGCACCAAAAGAGTGATAGCCAGCAGGTAGAGGCCTCATCTGCAGTACTGGGGTACTGCATCCAGGCCTGGAGCTCCCAGCTCAAGTAAGATGTAGAGCTGTTGGAGTAGGTCCAGAGGAGATCCGCAAAGATGATCACAAGGCTGTAGCATCTCTGTGATAAAGACAGGCTGAGGGAGCTAGGCTTGTTCTGGAGAAGAGAAGGCTACAAGGAAGACTTCATTGTGGCCTCGCAGTACTTAAAAAGAGCTTATTAACAGTATTTTATTATTATTATTAGGAGTAATTCAATCAGCTTTAGCAAACGTGTCAGTTACCTGATCCAACAGTTTTAGAAAAAGAATTTCTATCAATACATGCTCAGCAAAATATTGATCCTTTTAGCTGAACAGCACCCTGCAGGTCTGAATTAATACCACTGAGTGGATTGCTAAAAATAGACAATGTTATAACTTATTAAATTACTCTGAAAACAAGAAGTTTTAGATAGGAAAATAAACATGCATATTATGATTTCAAAGAGTATGGCAAAGATTCTTTTTAATAGGTGTAACAACCATTAAAGTAAATTCAATATTGCCATTGCTGATAAATGAAAACAGGTTTTACAGTACCTTTTCACAGTTTCAGAACTGCATTGGCATTTCCTTGAAGTTGTTGAGCGGTAACAGTACTTGTCTAGCGAGTGGCTACCATTCAATTTATTTCAATTTCTTTAACTTTTTTGTGATGTTACTTACATGTTTTCCTGTGCCCTATTTCTCCAGCTATACCATAAGGATACTCCAAGAGGGAAGGGGAGATTGGATCCAAGGTGACCACAGCGCAGTGACCAGCTAGATAATGGGGAGTGATCCTTACGATTTGTCTGAAACTTCCGCTAACAATTAAACAAAACAAGGACACAAGTACTTTTGATTTTTTTCCCATGTCAGCTAACATAATCTGAGACAAATTCATATACGGTTGTGAGTCTACAAGTAGTTTTCTTCTAAAATATTCAGCATGTCTGTATTGAATGTATCAAATACAAGGCTAGATTAGAAGTAAGACTTCTCTAAAAACAACTGTTTGTGTTTGCAGCATAGGAACTGAGCTGGAATAGAGAGAAGGGGACAGAGTTTTGCACCCCATGCTCGTGTACACAGTACTGAGAAAACTGCCCTTTTAAATTCAGGAACAGCAAATGTGTGCTATTTTTGTCTGAGATGGTATTATTACTTTTCTTTAAAGCATCCTGTATATTGCTGTGTTTTAAATTTATAATGAACACAGTGTTGATAACACACTAATGCTTTGAGTATTGCTAAACTGTGCTTGCACAACATCAGAGGTTTCTCTGATAATTATCTTTACCTCAACTTAAGTTTTTTTCCAACCTTTCCCTTCAAGTTCTCTTCTGCATCCCACTGGTGTCAGAAGTGAATTAGAGACTGGGAGAGGGTTTACTTGCCAGACAGGGTCAACCATTCACAGAATGCTAACCCTCTGGGGGGAAACAGCAGTAAGCTCAGCTGGCTGGGAGAAAGACAGTGTTCCTGAAAGAGTGAATATAGAAATGGTCTGAAAAAGTAAAAAGGAGTAAAAATGAGTTGGAATCCCAGAGAGGAAAATTATAGATACATGAAAAATGTAGACTGAGACAACAATTAGAAACCTGGAGTAGGGATTCTTGCAGCTTGGAATTCTGATTGTATCCTGGATTTGGAAGAGAGGTGGCTAGCAGATCAAGGGAGTTGATTGTCCATCCCTGCTCGGCTGTTGTGAGGCCCGAGCTAAAGTATTGCATATAAGTCTGAGGCCTCCAGCACAAGAAGGATGTGAAGTTTTTGGAGAAGGTACAAAGGAGAGCCGCAAAGAGGATCAGAGGGCTGAAACATCTCTTCTACAAAGATTGGCTGAAGAAACTGGGGTTATTCAGCCTGGAAAAGAGAAGGCAGTGGGGAGACCTAACTGTGGTCTTCCAGTATTTAAAGAGAGTTTATTAACATGAGGGAAATCAACTTTTTGGACAGGTAGATAGTGATAGCATAGGGG